ACAGAAGCACTTAGTTTTTGTCTGTATGACTGTATTCTATTGCCCCCCGGTGAGCGCAACAAATTGCATTGCAGCATAAAATCGTGATGCAGAACCTGTTTAATTCTTTACAGTTACTTTAAATATGTTATGATTATGATGTTTTTATAAAGTACATTATTATAGAGTACTATTTATTCATTCATTCATCCATTTTCCGATCCGCTTTATCCTCATGAGGGTCACCGGGGATGCTGGAGCCTATCCCAGCCGTCTTCGGGCAGTCGGAGGGGGACACCCTGAACCGGTTACCAACCAATCGCAGGGCACATAGAGACAAACAACCATCCGCGCTCACATTCACACCTAGGGACAATTTAGAGTGTTCAATCAGCTTGTCATGCATGTATTTTTTGGAATGTGGGAGGAAACCGGAAAAACGCGCACTTACGGGCAGAACATGCAAACTCCCCACAGGGAGGCCGGAGCTGGAATCGAACCCTGCATCTCTGCACTGTGAGGTCGACGCGCTAACCACTGGGCCACCGGGCCGCCCGAGAGTACTATTTAGCTTAGTTAAAAAACATTACATGGCGGCACAGTAATCAACTGGTTAGCAAGTCGGCCTCGCAGTGCAAAGGTGCAGAATTCGATTCCGGCTCCCATATTCCAATGTGGAGTTAACATGCTCTCCCCCTGCCTGCGTGTGTTTTCTCCAGGTACTCCGTTTTCCTCCCACATTCCAAAAACAAGCGTGGCAGGTTGGGCACTCCAAATTGTCCCTCGGTGTGATTGTGAGTGCGAATGGTTGTTCATCTCTGTGTTCGTCTCAGTTGGCTGGCGACCAGTTCAGGGTGTACTCCGCCCGCTGCCCGAAGACAGCTGGGAGAGGCTCCAGCCCACCCGCAACCCTTGTGAGGATAAAAGTATCAACAAAGGATAGAGGATGAAAACACATTATAATCATTTTTATTGTTTATTTATTTTTTTTTGGGGGGGGGGGAGACTCGAATGAATTCATGGCATTTCAAATCATTTCAATCCTCTCCTTTCAATTCACTCTCATCTCAAGTCAACACTGTTAGCTTCTTGAACTGAGAAGCATAATTTAGACCCGGTACTAATATTTTGGTGAAATTGATTAGATGAGACATGAGAACCGCCACACAGTATGATACAATTCTACACAATTGTCAACAGCATATTCCATTGTCTTATTTATGATGATGATGGTCACAAACATTTATCTGCACTTGAACATTCCCCCCTTAGTCAATGGTCATTCATCTCTATGGGTGATGAAAATGACAAGTGTGAGAGTGGTCAACATTGACCGAGTGCGCTGTGTGAAGAGGCTGTGGAGCCATCAGTATTCCAGAGGCAAACTCCCATCACTGTCACCTTGACTTCCTTTGCACAAGGCAAGGCTACACAGCCAACATACATTACAGTCCACCATTGTCGTTCTCGTAGACTAAGCCCTTGATGTGCGCTTGCATGTTTTGATTTTTGTTTATCAAAAATATTTCTTGCACTGATATAGTAAAGAACTGCACTTAACCAAATTAGCACACTCATGCGCCTTCAAGAGTTGCTCAGGTCAAAATAGTCTTTAAGAAGCAAAGTGCCAAAACGCACAACTAAATGATAGAGCTCCAGACTTTGGGAACACACATCCCTGATGCCATTTTAGCAGGGTAGAAAACTTTGAGAAAACTCCTCACTCTGACAATTGTAGACAGTTGTTGTGCACCAGTGTGTCAAAAGAGGCGACAAATGAGGGAGCGAGCATTTAAAAGGATGCCAAAGGTAGAACCAAGTCGTAGCACCGGCATTCGCCTCCTGCCATGAATGAGCGTGCTAGCGCCTCCGGCTTCCCCATCTGGTGCGCCCTCTCGACAGCGAACGCTCGCAAGGGCTCACCAGTGTCGTTCTCCCCATCTGCCATCGACATAGTTGGAAAAAGTACTCCTGGCGCTTGATAGCGAGCTGTAATATCCAACCTGTCCAGCTTGCGCTGTCTCTCATTATTTGCTTTTCATGAATTCACTTGGACAGAATATTCAATGACTAACACTTATTTTATCACTGCTCTCAATTGAAAATCCTTCGACTGCCACCGCTACCATCGTCCCAGCATGACTGCGTAAACAAATGCACACAGGGATCAGTCATACGACGTCTGGAGCTCTATAAATGGGAACCTTGTCTCCGGCCAATTGGCTGAAAATTGTCATTGTCGATTACGACTGTGTTCTTGAGATGATTATAAATGACTGATAAATAAACAAATGTCAGAATCATGTGGAATTTAATGCCATCCGATAGGCCTTTTGGCATTCAATTAGGACCCGTAGAGTGGGCTTTGCCAACTGGTGCAAAGTGACTGAAAGAAAGTTCAACAAGACTTCTAATAGGCCCGCTCTTGGCATGCACCATAATCACGGCCACAGTACTGCACATCATCTTTTGCGGTTTGGTCAACTCATGCCAAGAATGTAAAGTGATTGATTGAAAATCATCAAATTTGAATTTAAAAAAATACATGAATCTAAATACTGTAGGCCCTTGAATACCGTAGGCCCCTGAGCTCCCGGCAAGCCAATTGGCACCATGTAGCTTTGCAAGGACCACATGAGCAGCCTGTTGTGGCCTGTTCTTAAAATAGCTCACCAGAGCTGGGAGATTGATTTTCTCTGAGTGATGACGAGGTGATCATTTGAAAATGTAAACACTGGCAGAGAGATACAGAAAAAAAAGTGTTGCGTACATGACATTGTTCAGCTTCCAAATCATTGTTAGAATTCATCGACATGATCAGTGGCTTTGCATACATTTACATCATTAATCAAAACTGAAACATAACTTTGTTCAAGGTAATTTAAGCAAATTTATTTCAGAAGTTTGTATCAATCAGAAGCCAAGAATTAGCTCTCATTTTCTAAAAGTTTGGTGACCCCTGGTATAGATGTCTCAGCTTGTCTCAGCTCCTTGCAGATGATAAGCAATATATGTCAATCATATAAGCCATGCAAAGTTATTCACAGTGCTCAGTGAAAAGTGTCAGTGTTGTAGTTGTAGGTTTGTCAGTCTTTTAAATACGCGAAGCTAGTTTGCACAGTTTATATTTGGTAATTTGTCGGCAGTAGCAACCTGTCACCACTGAAATATCCATTAGGATGCCACAAAAGTGTGTGTGTTGTTGTGTGCGGGCACAAGTGTGGAAGTGTTGGCTGTCATCAGCTTTGTTGCAGCGCTCCTGTGGAACCTCCAACATCACAACGAATGCTGACAGCTTCGCGACACTCTCGCCTGTCCATACACAGACGGAACGTGTGAGTTCCTTACTAACTTTCTAACCTTAGCGGACGGACTGCTGGTGATGAAGCACAAGAGTTGAATGAAATGTAACGCTTGTCTGCGTGTAAACAATGGCTCTGCTGAGAGGGTTAGAAGAATTGCTTTAATACGGCATTTCTAGTGTTCTCTCTCTCTCAAGATGATATCACTGTCAGGTGAAGGCCTGAGATCGTGACGGCTTTTTCAAATGCGTTTTTGTACGAGCGCTATCCTTTTTATCCTCTCAACGAGTGAGTCACAAATCCAGACTGGTGGAGTCTACAGCCTACACAGAGGCTTGTAAAGTTGAGGCAACACTGTGTGAGGCATTGCCCGTTGCCGCTCACTTGACTTGCGCTTTTCTGGCTCGAGTTGCATGAACAGTTTGGTAGGAGCTGAGCAATTATTTGAATTCAATTTGAAATTGAAATCGAGTAGAATGGAATTTCCAAATTGCAAAGGCTGCAATTGGGTTTTATTCAGTAACACATTTTTCACACTTCAAGTTGCTTCGCAGTGTTAAGTTGCACCAGCAAAAAAAAAAACGATCATGAAGAAAAAAAAAAACCATAAGTTGAACATGATTATAAGTCACATTTTGGGGGGAAAATTATTTTACAAAAACCAAGACGTAGAACAGCAGAATTCGGACTCTTATCATGTTGGTGGATGCTGGTGTTCTGATTGGATTTGAAACTATCGCTTCCAACGACGGAAACATTTTTCTTTTTCTTTTTTGTTTGTTTACCTCGACTTGGATTTTACATCTTTTGGTGCTGTAAACAATAAATCTTCGTTGGATGTCGTGTGCTAAACTAGCAAGCTAGCTGGAGAGACACTCCCTTCGTTTATTGCCGTGAGCGGCGGCAGCAAAGACACGACAAAATCACGCAGTTGCCATGACTACTTCTTTTTCTTCTTCTTCCAATTCTTCTTCGGGGATTTCAACGACCTTCTGAAATTGTGCGCGTGCAATTAAACTCAGTGATTTATTATGATTATGGAACAGGGATTTTGTCTTTAAGTCCGAGCTGTCGAGTATAAGTCACAGGACCAGCCAAACTATGAAAAATAGCTTGACTTTGTCAGAAAAACATGCTGTCTGTGTATTTTATTTATTTAGTTATTGATTTATTTATTTGTTGTGTCTGGACAAGTTGAGTGATTAAGAAGGGTCATCCACACATTCATGCGTCATTGTTCCTTGAAAACGTTGAAAAAGTTGAAGCGCTAAAGCCACAAATTTGTTAGCGTTATTGCTGCTAATCTGATTTATGTCTTATGGACTTGCGTTTATGTCACACTTGTTTGGTGGAACTTTGTGAGGTTTTTGTGAAGCCAAAACTGTAAGTCAAAGCATTTAGTAAGTTCACAACTGTAATTGAGGTCAATAAATAAACTCTCATATTAATTCAAGGCTCATTTGCCTTCATTTTAGCATCAACCGAGGCTAAAACAATGAGACCAAAACGGTTATGTATAATAAATCTTGTTTAATCAAATAGTTAACAGATTAACTATTTGATTATTAAAAAATTCATGTGAAAGAGGACCTTGAAAGAATGTTAAATGTCAATCGCAACCGTGTGAGGAAAAAAAAAAGCAAATTATCGTGATTATGATGATTATTCTTCAAGATCGTTCAGCCCTTTCACGTTTCCTGTCACTTCCTGTCTACTCAGACGCAGACGTGACTGAGCCCAGCAGCTCCGACAGCCGCGGCGAACGCCTGGACTTCTTTCTCAAGCAGGAAGAGGCTCTCGCAGCGGAGTCCGGCTTCCTGGGTACCAACGAATCAGAGGAGGCGGCAGGTGGAGGAGGAGGAGGAGGCAGCGGCGGAGGCAGAGGCGGCGGTGGGATAATCTCTTCGGTGGCCAACCTGAAGGCGGCGCTGATGAGTAAGAACAGCCTGCTGTCACTGCGGGCTGAGATGATGGGAGATGATAACCCCTTGCTCTACGAGTACCTTCCCAAAGGAGGACACTCCTTGACGTGTAAGTCCTTATTTACTGACACAAACACACATTCGAGATCTATTTTTTGACGTGTCACAAAATAGTAATGGCACATTGTGATTACCTAGGGATCTGGATAAAATAGATTGATTGATTTTTTTATTTATCATTTTTCTACCTTATGTCATTATTGGGAGAAATCATGAAGATGATCAGTGTCCACCCTTCAATAATATTATTAATTGTTCTTAATATGTTATTTCAGAAGTGTGTATCAAACTGGTAACCAAGAAGTTGCTCTCAGTTTCAAAAATACTCGAGGTCTATTATATGTGTCAATTTCTGCTCGCACTACACTAACACCATGACGTTATTGGACACCAAAGTAAACCAGAAAGTTGTCTCCAAACAGAGTCAAATGTCAGGGGTACAGAAGAACTGTTTTTGATTGTACCACCCCAGTCATAAGAGACCATACAACCAAAGTTGTTAGCGAAAGAGAAAGACACTTCAACAATTGCATCTGAAGAAAAACTGACCCAATATAGAAAATAACAAGTAGTTGGGAATCCATGGATCCAATTGGTTACATGATCACAATAAGGGCTATGGTAGAACTGAATATGCTCCGTGCACAGGAGGAAAATCTGAGTTATTATTGCAAAACTGTTGCCACCGTGCCATCCGCTGACACATTGGCCTGATTTAATCACCTTTTGTTTCGCAGACTCAGTCTATGTGTGGTCATTTCACTGGCCTTTGTGCGTTTGTGCCATTTGAAGATACCTGCAGTATACCATCAGTGACTCTGTCCCAAATGATCATTTTGTATCATTTTGACAAAATTGAATCATGTATTCTCCCTCATCCAACTGGTTGACGAGATGTTCTTAGGGTGAATGGAAATATCAGCATCCTCCATTATTTGCCTTGTCAAGTACTCTATATGGAATGGTGTTGCTGCACCTACTGTAGAGTATATAGTTGTGTGTGTGTGTGTGTGTGTGTGTGTGTGTGTGTGTGTGTGTGTGTGTGTGTGTGTGTGTGTGTGTGTGTGTGAAAGTGTGTGTGTGTATGTGTGTGTGCGTGTGTGTGTGTGTGTGTGTGTGTGTGTGTGTGTGTGTGTGTGTGTGTGTGTGTGTGTGGAGCCACTCGACTGCATGTGGTTGTCAATGGTGACTCGTCAGCGGTGACTCAGTGTGAGAACATTTTGTTGGGATAGCTTGTGCTGCCATGGGAAGATTTGTTTGGTTATTTGTGAAAGTTCCTTTGAGTGCATCACTGCAGCTGTTTGTCAGTTTTATCACTCAATTAACTGCACATGAAATGTCTCCAAAAGTGGAAAAAAATAGATTCATTTGTTCTTAGAACTGCCTTTAGCCGTTATCTTTTCTTTCCAAGACATTTGCTTACACTTAATGTTCTGCTAAGTGATGCAGCATTTAGTAGAACCCAGAAGCTCATCAAAAATCCCATCAATAATTTCAACAACTGAGAATGGAAACATCCTAATTAACCACATTAGCAAGTTTTTTTTTCTTATTTTCAAGTTTGTGCGCTCGCGTGTCGGTGTTTGAGTGTGCGTATTTGTGTGTGTAGTCAAGATAATGCACGTTGTGTGTTTGTGTTTCATTGCTTTTACTGGCTCGTAATTGGATCTTTTGTCGTGAGCTGTACCTGCCTTTGAGCACTGCAAAGAAGCAAAGGAAAAAAGAGGAACAACTCTGCGCCCGGTCATGCCCCTACTCACCAACAAAATGAAAGCCGGCGACTGAATAGATCGACACGCATGCACACGCACGCATGTGCTCGCTCGTGCGCCTCACGTATGCAAGTGCAAAGTGTGTGAGATTGAGATGTTTCTGTTGCCTTCAAAAGATTTGAGATGCTGTCACAGGCCGCGAGCCTGTGACTGCAGCTCCAGAGAAGACAAGAGGCTCACTCTCATGCATAGACCCAGCCTTGACTGTATATGAATAAGAGATTTAGAGAATTCAAAGAATGTTAAACATTTGCTTGGTGCATGAAAGAAAGCACACTGAAAGAAGTTGGTTTCAAAGAGAAAAAGGTCTGTGTCGATCAGACATGTCCAGGTCCGGTACTCGAGGGCCGCTGTGTGGTGTATTTTATGTGTCTCCCTATTTTTGCAGATTTTCAAGAGACCTTGGGGAAGGTGTTGGTCGGTTATTCTGTAATTTGTCCGCACAATAGGGCTTCAGCGAAATGGTCGACAAGCTCCCCTCCCTACCACTATTGGTCCCTGTGTCTTTATGGAGACATAAAATAAACTGTACCCTCGATTACTGGCCGCAGAAGTCATCTGACTTTCACGTGTTGCTCCTCCCTTTCCCCCCCATGCGCTTGTTTTCGCCCGCCATGGTTCTCCTTCGGCCCCACTTGACATCCTTCCTGTCCCCTTCCCTTCCCCGACTCCCTCCATCCATCCATCCACTTCTCCTTCACCCCTCCTTAGCCCGCCTTCCCTCCCCTTCTGGCCGCATCCTTCGCGTCCTCCTCATTTGGCTCACTTCCCCTGTCTATGCTTGAGTGCGGTGGAGCATCAAAGTGGGGCTGTTTAAGATCCTGGGAAAGTATTGATCACGGACAGGAAGGAGGTAAAGAAAAGTGACCCGGTCCAATCCAATGAAGACCTCTGAACATTCCCCTCACTAGCTCATTTGTTTACGTGATCCCTCATACACTTGCCCTTTACTCAACTGCACCGGGGAAAGGCTTCCTTTCGTTATTATTCTTATATCCAGATAAAAGGCACAAACCCGACAGCCTGGACCGAGTCCGCCTGCACAGAACTTTTACGTGAAGGTTTGTTTGCTGCTGAGCTGCCCCTCACCTCTTAGTCAAAAGGTGCCTTTCAAATGCATCACTTTGCTGTCTCGCAGAGGCGTCTGCTGCAACATGCATCCAAGCATGCGGTCAATACGGTGTGTGTACGTCAGTCAGACTCCCAAATCCAATTAGGATCAATGGGATTTGACCCCGTTCCCCCGTTGTGTGTCAGACAATCCATGTCAGACAGCGGATTTCCCCGAACCGTCCCCAGTGCACCTGTCCATGCTGCCGTTGTGCACTGTGTGTGCAGAACATTCAATCTCGCTCGCATTGCAGTATGTTTCATTGAGAACAAAAACAATCGTCTTCGGACTCATCAGAGCAAATTTCCAATTGAGGTGAAACAATTTGAATACATGGTTTGGGTGATCATTTCATCTAGATTTCAGGTGCTCTGATGTCTGCAAATGGAAGACAAAAGTACTAAGAGTAGAAGTAGGATTTTTTTTTTCTTTTTTAGAGCTGACTCAAAACTTCCTCGTGTCGCTCTTCCTTCAAACAATTCTGAGGAAAAACACAAACCCCCAAAATAACTTGCCTGTGTCATTATTTGTTTAGTGGGGAGGTGATGGGAGGAAGCAGGAAAAAAAACCCCAACAAAAAAAAAACACAAATTTGGACAGCTGAGGTCATTCAACTCCAGGAAATTACATTTTGGTTTTGTTTTTTGGGCCTGGCAAAAAGAGCACAATTAGAAGTGAACACTATTTTACAGGTGACCCCCTGTTGATGGAGGTTAAGGTGGTGTGACATTGAACGAAATCAACATTCGCAAGTATGAAAAATATGCATCTAATGCACAATTCCAACAAGATCCATTACAAGCGTTGCTATCGAAACGTCTTTACAATAATGATATTGATCCCTTTTGAGAGGATTTTCAAGTGCAAAGACAGACTTTTTTTAGATTTTGCCATATTGTGCATGTGCTGTTGAAGGAGTAGTCCACTGAGTGTTTGTGTGTGTTTCATGTTGCTCATCTTGGATTCTTTCTATGGCTGTGACCTCCTCCCTCGCTATTTGGCCCCTCCTAATGTGGCTAGAGGTGGGAAGTAGAATGGGAGTTGAGCATTCGTGTGTGTTCTCACTAAGTGGGAGTGTCGGGTGCGGTAGTTCAACATTCCAGGAATCTGTCCACGGTCAAGCTTCAGCATTGTGAGATTGTGTCCATTGTGTAGAGGAGGCCAATAAATGGTTCACCCACCGCATAGCTTTGCTGGCCTCACTGGCACATAAGATTGTTGCACTCTCACAAGACACGGTACCTGCAATGCGCTCACCAATATGAATGCACAGTGAACATTAAAATCTCAGTGTGGGAATAGTTAGTGGGAGGTTTGTAGGATTTGTTTTGATGTTTTAATTCTCTGTGTCTGAACGTGTTGCTGGTTTACATCCTCCCTGGCCGATGTCCTTTTGCCCTGCGTGTACAGAAAGTCTTCAATTGAGCTGCAAGATGGCACCTCTCCAAAACAATCTCCCTCCACGCTACAGAGGATCATCAAACCCTCGCCTTGTATGCATTTTACTCATTCACAAAGCGCCACACACACACACACACACACACACACACACACACACACACACACACACACACACACACACATCATCCTATGTGCATGCATGTGGGTGGAAGGAGAAGGAGAGCAGAGGAGCGAATAGAAAAGAGAGAGAAGAGAAGCCCTAACCCTTTCCCCTCGGCTGGTGGAAAGTGAAACTTCAGAATTTTTCTTCCTCCCCCTCTCCATCGTGTTTGATAGTACAGCACTGGCAGCCACTGTGTGCCCCTCCACCACCGCCCCCGCCACACACCCCTCCTGCCCACTCTCTCCCGTTATGTTCTGGCGGCCAGCTGCTAGCAGAGTTTGCAGTTGTACGTGAGTGGGTGGGTGAGACTCGTTTCCTGTGCTCCTCAGGGCTCCGCTCCAACAACTACTGCAGCACGCTCCGGCCAGGGGCCACAGGGGCCACTATTCAAAACAAACAGGGGTCTGGCTCCTCTCCTCCTCCTCCTCTTCCTCCTACTCTTCTTCCTCCTCATCTTCTACCAACTCCCCCGTTACCGCCATCATCATCATCATCATCATCATCATCAACATCAACATCATCGTCATACCGCCCCTCCACTCCGCCCACTCCCCCGGTCCCCGCTGAGCCTCGGTCCCTGGAGGCCCCCGGTTTGCGGGCGGGGGCACCTCAGCGACACTCAGAAACCTTGGACATGGAAGTGGAAGAGGCCCCTGAGGACCTGGCGTCCTCCACCCTGCCTGAGGTAAGCACAAAAAGCCTGGCTCAATTCCAGGTGGAGGCTGTTCTCCGGGTTTCGCTCCACCACTCGGTTACGAGCGTCCGGGAGGCTGTCTCACCCTGTCTCGTTAAGTCCCTGAGGGGGCTGAGTGGTGATGGAAGGTATCAAGTGACCAGCGATGTGGTGGAGGGTGGGCACAAAGCTTAGTTACGGGACACACTGGAGGCTCTTGGGGCCATCGTCACTCAGTCTCCTCACTGTGTTTCATTCTGTGTGGAATCTGGCACATTTTCAGCTTGCTTTGTCTTCCGTTCCAGATTTTCTATTCTTTACTTTTGTCTCTTTTCTTCCACAACATCTTTTTACTGTATACAGTATAGCCAGGGCCTGAGGGTTGCTAGTGCTAATGTAGCCTGTAGTTGGGACTCTTGAGATGACACATGTGGACACAATGACACCCAGCATGTGTTGTTAGATGGCAGATAGCGGCCGAGGTGGAATCAATGCTCGAAGACAATGAGAGGTTTGCTCTTGCAGTGCAGGAAATTGTTTGTTCTTTTCTGTGTGTGTCTGTGTGGGTGTGTGTGAGTTTGTCTGTGTGGCCCTGTGTGGTTTTTTTTTTTTTTTTTTGTGCCAGCCTGTGCGTGTGGGTGAGTAAGCCTTTATGGGCAATATTTGATTTAAATAGGACTGGCCTCTCTCGAAGTGTCCCCGCCCTGCAGACAAGCCATCCGTGTATCCAAGTGCATGCTTTACCCCTCTTGTTCGCCTTTCATCAGGACAGAGGGATGAGTGTAGGGGGCCGAGGAAATGGGTGTGGGTGAAGGAATGGACAAAGGTAGATGGATGCAGTCAGGAGAGAATACGTCAGAAGGGGCAGGGGGGGGTTACCGTTTGTATTGTTATTTTAGATCAACTTTTCTTTCTCACCAAGCCTCCAACAAGACATTTTTGCATTCACATCTTGTGTTATGGCTGGATCAGACTACAACATTTTCAGCCACATTTTTGTCCAGGTTCGCTATCTCGACTGATTTCCTAGATTGGGCCCAACATATTTTGTCAGGAATTATCTCCGTGTAGTGTGACATAATCCACGATCAAAAAATTGGCTTCTGATAGGTCCTGTCATGCAAAAATGAAAGTCTATCATGTTTGATTTTGGTTTATTTATTTTTTTGGAGTACCTTCCGTGTAGTGTAGTGGATCAACGAAAAACGTACGAAACACCTGCAGCACCTAGACTTCCAACAATAGGATTGTATCTTGCAACGAACGTGATCGCTTTTGTCAATAGGATTGTTGTTGGCACTGTGGTAAAAGTTACATCCGGTAGCGTTGAGACGTTTTCTTGTCCCGCCTCCACCGACAGCTTGATTTGACAAGATTAGCCCAATGATTGTACAAGACGGGATTCAGTGACATTGTAATATCTGTCGTGTACTGTTGCCAGTGTTTTGACCGAGAAGAGGTTCAGCACAGGTAGAGCTGGGCGATATAACGCTATATATCAGGAAGACAAAAGATAACATGTAAACGTGCCTCTTTTTTTATTTTTACAATCTTATTATTGTCATTTGCCATCTGCAGCAGACTGCAAGTACTTAATATGTCAAATACAGCTTGATTTGATGGCCAAAAAGCTTCCACTAATCAAACTATACAGCGAAGGGAATCACAATACATTGTTACTGTACAGAACAAACCTACGGTGCAAAATTAAGTCTAAGAGACAATGAAAATTCATAAATAACCAGGTGGGTGAAATAATTTCAATACTAATAACCTGCGTTGGGAAAGAATAAACTAACAACAACAAAACTGTAATTATTTACAGAAAAAAAAGCCCTCACAGCATGCTGGCTATGTCTTTAAACTACAAGAGCATAGCAGTTTCTATTTTGAACCTCATCAAACGAAAAGAAGACCAAAACTGACAATCACAGTTTTTCCAAAATTTGAACATCAGAGATGTCCCAAAAAGCTATGATGGGCTCCTTATGTCTCCTGCAGCCGGCGAGACGCTGCAGCAGCTAGAGATAGTAAGTTTAGCAGTGACTTTCGTCTGGCTACTACTGGCTACCTGCAAAATACGTTGATGTCTCGCTGCTAACTCAGCAGTCACAGCCTCCATCGTCTCGCCTCCATGGCGGCAAATAATCTACACTTCTTACAAGTATCGTTCTCATGAAGTCATTACGAAGAGTAATTCACTGAGGGAAAGGATGGGAAGCCATGCCGATTGCTAAGCTAACTTCATGTCTTAATGAAAGACCAGAATTAAAAGTGCTTGGGTGACTTGGCGGAGGTCTCGCTGGAACCGCGTTAAAGCCGCGCATATCCAGTTTTGAGGAGTCAACTAGGAGGCAATTTAATAAGTGTCGGAGAGAATCCAAAACAATGCTACACACACCGCTGACCAAGAAATGTTACGGCTCCCCGTCTGTCAGCCAGGAGGAGTGGCCTAAAAGATTGAAAGTATATTAATATTGAGGAAAAACGATACAGAAAATGGATGCATGTAGTATATTGAATCCATATAATGTTACAAAATTTGACTTTTGGGATCTGCAAAGGTTCTCAATATTACATTACAGTAAAGTTTGTCTATTTATTATTTTTTTAACTCAATATGTGTCCGAAACATGATTACTTCAATGTGTGCAAAAATATGTAGACTAACTTTGCTTCTGTTTACATTTGATAATTTTATATAGCTGCAGCAGCACAGGATGCATTAATCATTTCATACAGATGTGTTTAATTTCACTTCAAAATAAAATAAGAAAAAGTTAGCATTCCAAGTGTGGAGTATATATTTTTTTTCAATAGAATACCTGAAAACATATCGTTATCGTGATATGAAATGGCCAATATCGTGATGTTTCTTTTCCATATCGCCCAGCACTAAGCAGTGCTGTATTGCTGTGATGTAGTGCCAACGTGAGCACGCAAATTTGCCGAGTAGTCGGATCCAGCCCTTATTTTGCTTGTCTCACCTGCCCGCCTCCTACATGCACGACAAGTTCTCATACACACTCTTTACATTTTTGTGGAATAACGTGATATTTTGTGCTTCCAGGACGGTGAAAAAGACAAAGATGAGCTGAAGGAATACAACACAGGTAATGCCGAAGCCTTGAGTATTCCAGTCATGAGACTTGCATGCAGTTCTTTGAATGATTTTCATTCTCTCGTTCAGGCTTGGAAGGTGACACGTCACCTCCTGAAGGGGATCAGATGGCCAATTCGACTTGTGCTGGTTCTCTGACGGTGCCGACGTCAGTGTTCATCGCTTCCAGCCAGATCGAGGGTCTGGCGGCGATGGCCAAAGAGAGTAAATCAGGGGTACTGCCAGAGACCGGTGCCTGGACCTCGCAGGGGTTTGCTTGCTCCCTGTGCAAGCGGCTGTTCAGCAGTCTGGAGTTTCTCAGGGAGCACGAGTACCGCCACAGCTTGTCTCTCATGGCTATGTCCCTGGACTGGCCAAGCATGGCCGGTCCGTTCAGCCGGACTAGCCAGTCCCAGTTTCTCCCCTACCCGCAGTCTCTGTATCGCCCCGCCATGGCCGAGCCCACCCCGGCGCGCTACCTATGTTCGCAGTGTCCGGCGAGCTTCACCCTAAAGTCCAACGCGGACCGCCATGAGAAGACCATCCATTTTAAGAAAAAGCTCATGCAGTGCGTGTACTGTCTGAAGCATTTCAGGGACCGCACAGACCTGCACAGGCACTTGTCCTCGGTGCACTCCAAAGAGAGGGGCCACGTCTGCCCGGCGTGTGCAAAGTCTTTCAGCACCCAGAAAAACCTGGCCACCCACATTAAAGTATGCTGCCAGGTGGGGTCTGTGCCAGGAGCTGTGCTAGGCAGTAGCACGAGCATGTCTCAGGATGGTGATCGAGTCCCCCTGTGGAGGTATTCCGAAGAGTTGAAAGTTGAAATTAGTAACCGTAGCATTTTGGATATCGAGAACTGAGAGAATCTCAAGGATGCAGAGTAATATTCAAAGCCAGCAGTTGTTCATCTCACGTGTGCACTCATGCCACTCATGTGATGAGAAGGCTTCCTGACATAATCTTTTATTTTTATTTTTTTGATAGAAGTGAATTTAATTTATACCTTCAGAATATTGAAGATGAACTTAAAAATGTCTATGCAAAGCTGGTCTTATTACCATTTAATGAATTTATGTATGAAGTACTTGAAGTCCTCACTGACAATCACATGTTGTGATGCCTGGCAGCAACTTTCCATTTCCTTCCAAACATTATCTTCCTATCCTCCTCTCAATTAGGGAGAAAGCACAACTCGAAATACAGTAATTCAAATCTGCCAGGCTGTGCTGTCTCAACAACCTAAGCAACACCATCACCTGCAGGACATTGGTTGCACTGCACCATTTGCTCTTCTCCCGCAGAAGCATTTGAAACTCAAAGATGCTTTGAACAAAAGTGCCGTGTCCACCTCCAGGTGCAGGATTAGCAGAAGCTTGTCCTTTGTCACCATAATAACCTGAGGTCTTCTCTATCGTGCAGTTTAAATGGAAAGCTGTGCGACACAGGACAAAGCAAGCCAAAACAATGGGCCAGTGGCAGTCAGCTGGGGGGTTGGGTAGTGTCATTTTCTCTCCAACCCGCATCTTGAGGTCTTAGCCTTTGAGAGTGGCCAGAGATGGCCCGTAATTGGTCCTTTGTGGCTACAGCCCTCCTTAACCCTTGACCCCTAATCAAAAGAGGAAGTGGCGACAGAGGGGCAGGTGCCCTTTAGACCCGATGAATTCAGTGATGTCACTGGTGTGAGCTCAGGACTCAACGAAAGGAACTGGAGTAATACCACAACTAGCTGCAGGAGATCAGACCTTGCATGAGTACTTGTTTAGATTCACACTCATTTCTGCCAAAGATTTAGAGCGAGCATTTACACACACACACACACACACACACACACACACACACACACACACATATATATATATATGTGTGTGTGTGTGTGTGTGTATATATATATACATATATATATATGTGTGTGTGTATGTATGTATGTATATATGCGCCTGCTGAAGAAAAGCAGGCCCAGATCATGATATTGGCTGCACTATGTTTGACAGTGAGGAGGGTGTGTTCAGGACGATGCGCAGTGTTTATTTACGCCAAACATAATGTTTTGCATCTTGCCTCCAAAAAATTCCATTTTGGTTTCATCTGACATGAGCAAATTCTCCCACGGTTTTTTTTTTTTTTTTTTTTTTTGCTGTGTCTCTTAGGTGGCTTGTCAAACTTCAAAACAAGACTTTACATGGTTGTCTTTGAGAAATTGCTTTCTTCATGCCACTCTTTCAAGAAAGACTAAATTTGTGTAGTGTGCGACTAATAGTTGTCCCAAATTAGCCTCACCTCAGCTGCGGATCTCTGCAGCTCATCCCGAGTGAACATGGGCATCTTGGCTGCATCTCTGATCAGTGCTCTCCTTGTTTGGGCTGAAAGTTGAGATGGATTGGCCAAGTATTGGTAGCTTTGCAGTGGTCCGATACTCTCTCCATTTCAATGTGATTCATTGAACAGTGCAACATTTTGCACACCCCTCTTTTCAGTTTTTATTTCTCAAATCAGTTTAACATATTGAATGAATTCCATTCCAGTTCACAATTGTGTCCCAGTAGGTGGTGATTATTCACCCCCCACCCCCCCAAAAAAAATAAATACATTTTATATCTTTGAAGCCTGAAATTTGGCAATACGGCAAAAGTTCAGGGGGGTCGAACACGAGTCACTCCTTAACAGCATTTGTGTGTTCTTTTTCTCTGTGGTTAAAAAGTAAAAAAAAAAAAAAAAACATTTTATTTAGGTGAAAAAAAACCAACCGCATGTCTGTTATTTAATTTTAACATCTCCTTAACTCAAATAGCTTTCATCACCCCGTGTAAATTACGTAGTCTTGCGGCCACGCACATTCAGTCAATCACAGATAAAATCAGCAGGCAGACGTGTTGTTTGAACAAACACGAAAATAGCTCCGTTTTTTTTTTTTTTTTTTTGATAAGATGCACTCAACATTTGCTAAACGATGAACACGAGATATCCTGTGATCATGACGAACGTTTGTTGAGCTACGATCGCGTTGCAATGACTTATAGAGTCAATGCAATTTGCGAGGCGGGGGGCGAATCAATACAGCTCCGTCTGAGCCACACGACTTTGAGAATGTGTGACTGAGTCACAATGACCAAATATTCATTGCGGACTTGTACAATTCAGCCAGCTTCCAATCGGAGCAGAAAAGGTGCAGGCAGAGGCTACTTGACGTAGTTCCTAAGACTTGTTTAGCAGCTGTTGAACCAAGACAGCAAGAGTTTGAGCAAAAGCCCCGACCACCTGAATGACTCGAGATGTTCATGCATGTTTTTTTTTTTTCCATTAATGGAAGAAAAGGAGTTATTTTTAACATTCAATTTAATGTTTATCAGCATTTTTTGAAGAATTTGGGGAAGGGCCGGGGGTAAATTATTATTGTTTCAAAAGCATTTTCGCCATGATGGCAGTTGTCTGTAGACTAGAATAAATAGATCACGCCATCTTCTGATCAAATCGGTGATCGAGTATCGTTTTTTTTTTCTTTTTTCAAACCTTCCGATCACTGATCGCGTAAAGCCGAAATAGGCCAAGAGCCTCTCACATTTCCACATTTCTCTCCTTTTGTTTCCTTTCATTGTATTATTAGCACTGGTGTGAAATCCAGGTTCACAAAGTAAAAACGTTGCCACAGATTGGTTTTCGCCACGGGTGGTTCTACTCATCCAGCAAATAAACGATCTCCCCAGAGTCGAAGCACCTGCAGCTTAAGCCAAACTGTGGCAGGGTTTTTACTTTCTGAATCTGGATTTCACACCTCTGATTATGGCAATACAGCAATGCTATCCTGGGCCATCTACTTCTTCTTTGACAGTTGCGATATAGTGTTTGTGATTCAGTAAATACTGTATTTTTTATATATATATTTTTTTTTGCACGGTCATCCAGTTCAGACGTGTTCGGCCGTGTAGCTCGGTGTGTGGCGAACCTTGAGCTCTATCTAATCATGTGCACCCGCAGTGACAGTAGACATGCGTCTGAGTTTCCCTTGAACTCTGTCTTAGTAATTGTGCTTCCGTGTGCCCAATAGAAGCAGAGCAGGAACTGATAGCCTTTTTGATACCAGCTCCCCACATGCCAAATCCCTTCAGACACAAAAATCCAATTTCTCAGGTAATAACACGCGCTGTCCTGGACAGCAGCTGCAACAGCTGGAAGGATCTCATCAGGATCACTTCATTAGTTCTTCTTTTGCATAAGGCGGTATACAGTATGTTGCTGTGTATATTCAGATCTTGTCTCTTTTGAGAAGGTGCTGTATGACAACATGTACTTTTCTTTAAAAAAATAAATAAAAAATTTGAAAAAATGCTGCAATGAAACTTCAATAAAACATGGAAACGTATCTGTTGTTGTTGCTGCTTTTGCTCCTTTGTCCAGGTGTAATGCACATTGACAACAAAACTAACAATATGTCAATGCAGTAGCTTGGACTCTTTGGGTTCTTGCATTTTGTGTGTGTGTGTGTGTGTGTGTGTGTGTGTGTGTGTGTGTGTGTGTGTGTGTGTGTGTGTGTGTGTGTGTGTGTTTCTTTCCACCCCATCCCTTTTGCTTGCTTTACTCAGAGCAGAAGTCATGAAAATGGAGGTAATTATTTTATGTCGTTTAACTGTGTCATTCAACGCTGCTTTTTATTCACTCCACTCCAGCTTTGAGCTTTCATGGTCATACATTCTCATGTATCTTACACGCGCGCACACACACACACACACACACACACACACACACACACACACACACACACACACACACACACACTTCTGAACAACCATTTAAGACTCAGCTGGAGACGTAATTCTAAACGTTGCCTCACCTGACCTTTACCTTAGATGTGAAACTAGTGTCAGCACTCTTTACCTTGAGTTTCCCTTTTTGCGTGTGATTTTTTTTTTTTGTTTTTATGTCCCCACCGCCAGCCTCTGTGTTTACAACAGTGTTGTCCGTCGCAGAGACCTTCTCTAGCATCTAAAGCCGACTCAATGTAGTGCTAGTGTTTATACGATCCCTTTTCCTTTGACTCTTTCGTGTAGCGGAAGAACTGTTGCCAGGGCAACTGTAGCTTTGACTGGGATCCGGGTGGCCATGGGGATTGATGAGACTTTTATTTGTTAAGCGGCCTGCTAATTAAGTGCAATAACTGAAAATTGATGGGTTTATTTAAAAGACATTTATTCAAGTCTAATCTTTTTTTTCTCTCTCTCTACCTCTGCAACCCCCTTCCCCCACTGTCCTCTCTTTGTCCCTGCAGTGAATGACTTCACAGTGATCCGTAAAAAGTTCAAGTGCCCCTATTGCAGTTTCTCTGCCATGCACCAGTGCATCCTCAAGAGGCACATGCGCTCCCACACTGGCGAGAGGCCCTACCCGTGCGAAATCTGTGGCAAGAAGTTCACCAGGAGGGAACACATGAAGAGGCACACACTGGTGAGTTGCCATGATGTCATCAACGTAAGGGGGCAGTATCGTGGGATGTTTTAACTGGTGCGGGGGTCGGCAACACGCGGCTCCAGAGCCGCATGCGGCTCTTTAGCGACATCTAGTGGCTCCCTGGAGCTTTATAAAAAAATGTATGAAAATGGAAAAAGATTTTGATAGTAGGCTAATATAGCTCAAATAGATATAGATACGTGTTGCAGCTCCGAAAAAGGAGAGCTGTGGTGTTGGTTTTTCTAAACGTACACTTATGCTTTTAACAGTCTCGACAAACACAGACACGTCTGCGTCCGACTCCGTGCCTTCTCTCTTCTCGTTCAACTCGAGAGGCATTCAAAGATAGCCTCTGAAAAATGGAAATTAATGATCGCTTAAATGACACTAAGAAAAGCGAAAATAATGCACCAAAACAGAAAATCGAGTGAGGAAATCACAAAATAAATTCTATGGGGGTGTTTGTGAACACAAGGAATGAATAACATAAACAATTCTGAGACAGTCCAGTCTCCTACATACATACAGCATGTGTTTCTTTCATTGTAAGTTTTATAGAAGGCTTTTGTTTTTTTGCGGCTCCAGACATATTTGTTTATTTATTTATTTATTTTTTTGTCCTATATGGCTCTTTCAACATTTTGGGTTGCCGACCCCTGAACTAGTGCATGATGGTGTCATTCTTTCCAAATTTTGGGACTGAAATTTGTGGCTCGGTTTGGATGGGCCCGCTATTTTTTTGTCTGCCCAATTGCTCATCATTCTGAAAATAGGATTTGCCTTTTGTTTTTTAAAGAAAGAAAAGATAAGAACAATACACCGTCACCACCAAAGGTGTAAACCAGGGGTCTCAAATTCCGGTCCTGGAGGGCCGCTGTCCTGCATGTTTTCAAAGTCTCCTGTTGCAACACACCTGATTCAAATGATCAGATCATCAGCAAGCTCTGCGGAAGCCTGACATTGAACCTGTTCATTTGAATCAGGTGTGTTGCAACAGGGAGACATTGAAAACATGTAGGACAGTGGCCCTCCAGGACCGGAGTTTGAGACCCCTGGTGTAAACCTTTTATTTAAAAAAAAAAGAGATTATTCTTTGCTGATGCAGGACTAAAATGACTTTTTAGTCCTGAATGAAACAATGACTTCTGCTGTGGACGACCGGTTAGCACATTGGTCTCGCAGTGCAGAGGTGCAGGGTTCGATTCTGGCTCCGACCTCCCTGTGTGGAGTTTGCATTTTCTCCCTGTGCCTGCATAGGTTTTCTCCGGGTACTCTGGTTTCCTCCCACATTCCATAAACAAGCGTGGCAAGTTAATGGAACACTCTAGTCGAAATTGTCCCTTTGCCTTCACGGAGCGCTA